CGACTTTATATCTTTCGGATGCGCTCGCCGACATTCGTATCCGTTAGAAGTTTTTTAATATTAAATATTTTAATATAATCGTCATTTTAAACCTTCTAAAATTATAATTTCTAATGCCTCTTTAATATTATGTACTATTATAGACAACAAAAAAGATGAACTATAATTTAACAGTTATTAAAATAAGGGTTAGAAATAAGTATAAGGACGAGGATTCTAATGTCAAAATTTCTGGTTTGGCAATAAGTTTGATTTTAGCATGGAATTTATTTGACTCTAATTACGATGTCACTATTAGTGGCTGGCTTTATAGAAATTTGCAATATCTCTCTATTAAGGACAGGCACAATCTTTATTAAAGTTAGTGATCTGCGCATGCTCACATGTCAAAATAAGAGCGGCACTAATAGTGACTGACCTTAAGTGAACTTGCAATAACTCTGCTAACTTTATACACTTTAATATAACTATAACTTCTCTAGGAAAGGCAACCACACAGGCAAAAGTTACATAAGGCTGCCTACAAGGAGAATATTATCTCAACTGCTGTGGTCAGTTATAGTGGACGATTTACTCTAAACACTGTCCAAAAAGGCCTACCAGTAGGATACGCATACAACTTAGCAATTATCATCAGGGGGCTATTGGTAGGCATAGTCTCGGAGCTCTAACAGCTATAAATATAAGGAATAACTGGTGCAAAAAGGAAAAACTGCCCATTAACGCACAAAATACGACAGTTGCATCATTCACAAAAAACAGGTGCTTACAGACCATTAATACTAAACAAAATTGTTATTCCATTTGTCACAGAAACCAAAAGGACCTCGTAGTTATATTTGACCAAAGGCTGATGTTGAACCAACATCTCAAAAATCTCGCCATACAAATCTACAATAGCTCTTGTAATCTGTAGAAGAATATGCGGGAAAAACTGGCGCCTACACCATAAATTGACCAAGGGCGATAAAACCGAAGGGTAAACCGCTGACCAAAATTTTGATCACTACTTTCCAAAAATTGAATACTTCCCGTATTTTCTATGTACTTCCCGTATTTCCCATGTACTTCCCGCATTTCCTTTGTACTCCCCGTACTTCCTTTATAATTCCTATTCTTTTCATACTTGCTAGAAAAGCTATTACTCTAGAATACACTTGCAAGTGAACCCCTTCTTGAAGTCATGTCCCATTCAATTTGGCACATTTCTTTAAAAGTTGCAGTTACAAAATTTACATCGCATTGATTTTCTTGAATTACAAACCGCGATTTAATTATGATTTTTTTTTAATTTATATTAAATTAAATAAATAAATAAAATAAAATTTGTAATATAGAACGTAAAAAGATTCTTCTTATTTAGATATTGCTGTTCTATCACACACGTGTTTTTTTTACTCTACTTGCGAACCCTATATATATTTGGATTTAAAACTGGTAATTTCTTCCTTTATACTCCCCGCACTTTCTTCATACTTCCCGTACTTCCTTCTTACTTTCTGTACTTTCTTCATACTTCCCGTACTTACTTCGTACTTCCTGTACGTCCTGTCCTTCCAGTACTTTCTGTACTTTCTTCGTATTTCGCGTACTTCCTTCGTACTTCCTCAGCGATTTACCCCTCGGATAAAACTCATGTTTAACCTACGGCCGGGGTAACCAAACTGCGCTGTCAAGTGCAATAAGTCAACTTAGTGGAATTGGGAAGAGGTCGTGGTGGACAAATATTGACAAGAATGTCTAACTCCTTTCTAAATTTAATCAAATCTACTATTATTACTACTTCGTCGTAGCAAATGAATGTAACCGACTGTGTACCTTATACAAAAAACAATTATATTTTTAACGTATGAAAATTTAAAAACAATTTAGTCTAGTAGTAGCAATAAATCGGAAGTTGCTTCGACTTTTATTGTTTATTGCATTAGGATAGGAATGGCATTTAATTTTATCGCTTTTCGATACGTGCAAGAGAGATAACGCAAACGATTCGTAGCAGAGATAACTAGAGCATTAAATTTGATATCTATACCGTTGATAATATTACCAAGATTCTTTATGATAAATGATTTATGTATGATACATTGTCCGTATTGTTTATTACATAATTTGATTTGATCGGTTCTGGGAAATGAAATAATAATATTAATAGTTAACCAAACGGTTTTGTTTACGTAAGAAAATTTCCATGATGGTGGCGCCTGCATGAAATACTAAGTTATAGTCTAGAAAAACCAAACGTTCTTTGTAAGTAATTTAAAATTACAACTTTACGCTTGGGTTTTTTTACCGCACATTATTTCAAACTGCATACAAATTTCTTTTAAACCTGCACGTTTGTCGTGTGGTGTTATGGCTCTTAAATAAAATGTATCAAAAGACTTAGATAAATGGAATTTTTATAAACGGTACATCTCTTAAAACCGATTGAATTCAACAGTGGTACATATCGACTCGGTAGCGGAATGTGTCGAACGGCTGGTATTCACTTTTTAGTGGTTCAGCGACACTTTGCATCAGATCATAGACCAAACCCTATGGATTTTTAATTAATTTGCATGATTCGTTGTAGAATTTGATGGTTACCGTATTAGCAGTACCTAATTTAAATTCCGTGCTATGATGGTGGGTGGGGTTATCCTCACTTATAAGTTAAATGGCACCATCAATCATTTGTAATCATCGCCCCGGAGCGCTACGGCCAATAATAATTTCCGTTACTTTTCGGCACAAGCACACTCAGCTTCTGGGGTTAAAATCCACTCGCAACTACTTTATTAAAGTCAACTTAACATAATTTGTGTGTTTCAAAAAATTATTCCATTCAGTTTTGTTAATAATTTTAAGTGGGGACCGATTAAATTCGTCAATGATACGTTTGAACTACTTAAAACTAAGTATTTAGAATATTTAGATGTTTTTAAAATTTTATTGTAAACATATTTTTTTGCGAATTTAATTTCTGGGTTAATACATTTATAGTACAATAGAACTAATATATTAAGAATTTATAATAAAACATTTATATGTTTAAAAAAATTATTCCAACAAAACAGGTTGTTTAATTTTAACTAGGACCGATTGAATTCATTAGTGGTACATTTAAACTACTTTCTTAAAACGTATTAGTATTCTTTTAGAGAAAAAAATGTAAAGTGTCTGGTCAAATTTACGAAACATGTGCAATAAAACTAATCCCTCAAGACATAATAAAACATAGATGTTTCAAAAAATTATTCCAATAATCTTTGCTGTTAAGTCCGATTTAATTCGTCAAAGGTACATTTTGAATTACTACACATTGCCTGTCAGGGTGTCATCAGAGAATTAACGCTGGTGGACAAACTGTTATTTTACTTTTATGTGCTTTCTTCTTTTTTGTTATTGTTATTATATTTGATTTTTTTGGTGTCTTATATATATGAAAGACCCTACAGGAAAAATATTGTATTTTTTCTGCTTGACCACGTCTTTGGTCGGAAATAGATGGCCTGCAATGTGCGGTTGCTGTCGACGGCGCAGTTTCATATGAAGTAAAATAGTCATGCAGTCAACCACAGCTGCAGTTACCTTGTTGCTTATTTCGACGTGCAGTTCACGACAGCTGCAGTCACCTTGCTGCAAATCGCAGTTGCCACTCGTATGGCTTTTCACAAAGATTCCAGTCAGTTCATACCTCGAATTCTTCTATAAAATGGAAGATGATTTTGATACTGATGCTTTAATCAATGATATTATAAGTAGTGAATGTCTGGTATTATATAATGAAATCATAGATTGACAGGGCCGGGACATGTGGGAGTGTCAGGAAACCAGAAAGCATACCTCTTAGCCACTAGAGGAGCTGAGAAAACTCTAATTGGACCAGAACCCACATGTGGTATTTTATATCAACATGTTAAATGGCTGCAAACGGAACATATAAATAGAGAACACCATAGCCGCTGGTTGGAACTTCCTGGATTTAGGCAGTCCACAACATTCATAGAGCAGACAAAATCAGTTATTAAACCTCAGCAAAAGCGAACGAAAGGCCGTAATTGGACTCTTTACGGGACACTGCCGCCTTAGAAGACACCTAAATATTTTAAGGATATCTGATGACTCCCTATATAGAATACTCGTATGTGAACCATTGTCGTAAAACCCATCAGACATTCTTGAATTCATCAAGAATATTAACCTGATGGGATAGAAATTGGGAGGGGTACAACAAGCTTAGACCTTCAGTACGAGTGGCCTTGAACCACACCCTAATTCAGATAGATAATTTGACAAAAATCAAAAGAATAAAGCCTGGATTGTTATTTTTGTGAAATATATTCTATATTTTTTCTTAATTCTAAAATAGGATGAACTCAAAATGTCTTTTTCCTTCACTACATAATTTTACTTTTTCCTAGGGATTAAAAGTACAAAATACTTCATGGTATTTTTACTCCAAAGGGATTAAAAGAACAATATACGTTATACAGTACAGCCGAAAATACTGTAAAAAGTAAAATATACGTCAACATTATAAAAACCTTACCCTGGACACATCGTCATTGCTTTGTTATTAAAGTACCATTAAGTGGTTTTTCATAATTTTAATTATTTTTCGTTTTAGTTTTTCTTTCCATAAAGTGCATAAAATAGATAAACCACGGGACTGAAGTGATTTTTTATCGCTCGATGAATTGTAGCCCTTCCTTTGGTCGGACTAGAAAGTTTTTTAATGTACTATTATACACCACGGGCACTAAAACTAATACAGGCCCTTATTATAGATATTAAAGTGCTACTTTTACTTCTTTAGGCTTAATTTTTTTTTTAATCTCGAAGATTAAAATATATTTTACCTACTTTACTGATCTATTGCGAAAACACAGACTTAATTGACTAAAAAACAACTTGAGGATTCTTAAAATAATAATAAGTTTGTCGGTATAATGAGGAAAACAAATACAATAATAATCAAAAATATTTGTCTATTTCATTCTGAATTTTATCTTTTATAGGTGACATGAAATCAAAAGAATAGCAACCGATTATATTATACAAGGCGTTGCTCCGAAAGATAAGCAGTTGGAAAAGCGTAGACAAAATAATTGTGTGTCAAAAAAACAAGAAATTTCCAAAAATTTCACTGGACTCGTTTGGTGGACATTGAACAGAAAAAAAAGTTGGTGGTATTTAAATACGAGACTAGAAAAGAATTGGTGGTGACTCTATGACTTTATTAGCTGACAGTAAAACTGTTTAAAAATAAAGTATTTTATTTTTTAATTTAAAAATTATCAGTGTGTTTATTTACTTAACATTCAACTTAAATATAAAGTGTTTTTAATATTTCTTTTTAAGACTTTGCGTGTTTTCGCTGACGTTTTTGTGTGTTAGAAAAAACATTTTGTAGTTTTTAATCTGGTACTTATATCGTTCAGTAGAAATGGGCACTAGAAGTTTTCTGTCGAAAGCGTTTCGTCGAAATGACAAAACGGACGCCATCAGGAGTTTGGAACAGAACGAGGAACTGCTTCAAGGTTAGTCAAGAGTGTGATTTGTGTTTTATGATATAAATATAGAGTGGCTATTAAACAATTTAGTCCAATTTATTTATTCTTCTCTAGGGCGTTTATTTTCAATAATAAAAGTACACTATATAATGCTGTAGAACTAACTCACATTATAACATCTATATAAAATGTTTCAGAACAAATTACTGTAAATTTCTAGTGTGATGTTTTCCGAACTTCACTTTGTAACCTCTATGAGATGTGCTATAACAGTCTTGCCATTGCGGTCATTTAGCGTGGATGTTAGGTTTACATTAAAAGTACATTGCATGCGAGCTTAAAGAGTCTAAAATTGCAGCTTATTAACGTAGATGGGTTGTTTTTGTGCTAGCTGTAACGATAACAAATAAGTAAACCTTTATTGAACCAAATACTTTATTATGATGAGACTCTTGCACTCGTTAATTTCAGAAAAACTCCTCTAAGAAGATTACTTTATATTAATAAATAATTTGTGTTCATCCCGTGAAAGTTTGACCAGGCTCATGTGTTATTGGTCTTAAAGATGAGAAGTAAAATATCTTTTGGCTTTTTATAAACAATATATTCCTCGTATGTGTGGGTCGAAAATAAACAACCATTTATCAAATCAATCTCGTAAAAAAGACGCTAATGTGCCTCCAATCACGATGTAAAAGAATGTATCTCTGCTAGTTTGAAATGTGTAAATTGTGCTAATCTCAAATCAAACCATATCATAAATATTTTTATATTTTCATTGACCATGCCACTTCTATAACAGAGCAATAACATAGTACCGTCCCAATAGCAACCAATTAATTCGTTTAAAAATAATGTTATTAGTTCAAATTCTAAATTTATATTATACTATCAAAAAGTCAGAGGCCTTAGAACAAAAGTACCCAATTATTTGACAGTATTTCAGCCATTACACAATATGTAGGTTTCTTTTTTACAGAAAGCTGGTGTAATGATATGATTCACGACGGAGAACTATTTTATCTTGCAACTTTCGATGTTTACAGAGTTGATCGGAAATATGAAATATCTAATTCTTCAAGAGGAGGTGGAGTTATATGTGCTCTGAAAAAGGCACTAAATTCCACTTGGATTAATATAAGTGATATTTGTGTTCCAATTCCCTCAAATACCAATATTAATTTCCTACTCATTCAAATAAGACCATGCTACCAATGTATATACATTTTGCTTATTTATATAACTCCTAGTTCAGTTGATGATTATGAGGTAGTTTTGGAAACGCTATCTCTATTTGCAACTTTAAATGATGAAAAATCTTCCTGTAGGTACTCGGTCATTTCAATACGCCCCAATATATTTCTCAAATTAATGGTCCTAGTATTTCCGCCAAACTAAATGTTGTTCAAACTTTTTTTCTTTAATTTATAGCTGTTCAATTTAGTCAAACCTAAATTTGGTTCTGGTAAAGGATCCGGAGGTGCGAATTTCATAATTTTAGCATTAATATATTGAAGTAACTTACTTTTTATAATATTTTAACTGAAATTAAATATGGAAGAATACGTTTCATTTTCTATTTTCATTTATAATATAATAAAATGCAATATTTTGACTTATTTAATCTAACTTTTCGTCATTTCCTTCCATAAAACCTAAAATAAAGTGATTCATGAAATTGTCAGTTCTTGACACATATGGTCCTCGAGTTTGCAACGTTGCCATACTATATTGTTGATTTTTATCACTGATAATTTCCAAGTTTAAGATTTCTGTTTGAATGAGAAGAAAATAAACTGTAGGTGAAAATATAATGTGTTATGTGAGACTTTTCATTTCAATTTGAGCTGTGTCCAGGCCGTTGGAGTCTATGCGGGTAGGCGTAGCCAGGTATGGGTTAAAAATTTCTACGGGAAGTCGTTGTTTCGTTTTGAGTGAAAGAAAATGTTAAAAAAGTTGTTTAAGTATTACATGTTAAGTGATTTAATTAATTTCACTTTTTAATTTTTTTGAGCTGCATTTTTAAAATTAATTTGGTTGATGTATTAATTTTTTCATTTTATATACGATTATTACCGTACTTATCTTTTTGAAGCAAATGAAAAATTTATGATTTTTGATTACTTCTTTTTTATAATTTCATAATTTATAAATTTTAAATAATCCTTAAACTTATAATTTTATTAACAACTTGGCAACAACTGTCATTTAAAGTAATGGTTTTGTGATTATAACCCGTAAAATTGGAATTTTTAATTCAATTTTTTTGAAAATATTGCTTCATCCATAAATTTTTTTTCGAAAATTTACTATAGAAACTAGTTACTTTTGAGTGTGAATTTCGCACCTCAGGATCCTTTACCGGACCCCTAAATTTCAACGCTCATTGGATTTAGTTTACTTTAATAATGCATGCAAGGTTTACAGAGCTGAAGAAATAGTATTAAATGAAGATGATTACCATCTATCATTATTCATAGAAATTTCAACAAAAAATACAAATTCACCAATGCCCTGTAAACCGGATAATATGCAGTTCAATTAAAAAAAAGCTAATTTCCCAAGTCTCTATAATGCAATGAACAACATTGACCTTAGCTTTCTGCAGAATGTAGATAACATGGATACGAGTATTAGTGTTCAGTTATTGAACCAAAAACTATATGATGTGTTTATAGAACATTCCCACTAAGAAAACGAATTCCAGAACTTATCCGCCGTGGTTTAATGGTAACATAATTCACATGGTTCGACAAAAAGAAAAAGCCTACAGAACCTATAAATCCACTCAGTCGTTACATGCACAAAATACATTGAAAAACCTTCGCTCTAATATTAAGGGCCATCCTCCGCCTGAATTTTTAAGCCAAAAACAGCGGCTAAGCTCGTGCGCAATTACAACTTTATTTTTCAAAATTACTTAAAACTGCTTATGTAGGTGATGAAAGAAAACGTATTCCTAGGGATGTATAAGAACAAAATGATTAATTTTATTAAACATTGCTATTATTCAAGATAGAAAAAGGTGACAATATTACGTATTTTAAGGCGCCAATCATGTCGTTATAAGAAGTAATTTGGAAAATCTAATTCTATGTATCCCTGCTGCAAATCTTTAACTTTGTTCTAAAATGTTCTTTCTTCAAAAAAGTCAAAAAATAAGTTATTAATCGCGCACGGCCTGACCCTCTGCAAGTAACATTTTTCTAACCGTAATGTGGCGCCCTTCGCACTGAAATCTATTAACAACAAAACTAATAGATAATCTATTTACCCGCCTTCGTCAAGTGCGACGGCCTGCATCCCCCTAATAATTGTCAAGGCTCTAATATGACAATAAGTTCGGATCTACTACCTTATTTTCTTATTAAAAACTGTACATTCATTTTTGCATACAATTTTTAATAAAATTTTAAAATCTTGTACTACCCCTAGTGAGTGGAAGATATCTCGTGTAACTCCGGTTCATAAAAAAGGCAATAAAAATAATGTTCAGAATTATAGACCCTTTAGTATTATATGTAACTTTGCTAAGATATTAGAATTCGTTCTTCATGACCATTTATCTAATCATATTCATCAATATACTCTTATATCCTCAGATCAACACGGATTCATGGAAGGTAGGTCCATGGTAACAAATCTTATTTGTTCCATACAGTTTATATAAGAGGCCTCAGGTAGATGTGATATATACTGACTTTTCTAGAGCTTTCGACATAATTGACCACGTTAAATTACTGAAGAAACTTTTCGCCATAGGTTTAAGCACTCAGCTACATCTCCTAATGGCATCTTATTTACAGGACAGACATCAGTATGTTCAGTGTCGTGGTTATATGTCAGAAAAGTTCCAACAGAGCTATCGGGAATTCCGCAGGGATCAATTTTGGGGCTTCTTCTATTCCCTATTTGCTTAAATGATATTGTTGTAAACATCAAGGATATAAAAGTTTTAATGTATGCAGATGATTTAAAATTATTAATGGAAGTTCGTTCAACGAATGACTGCAAAATTCTCAAAAGTGTCTGGATGATATAGCAAATTGGTGCCAAAATAGTTCACTGCCATTGAATCCAGAAAAATTTTCGGTTATGTCTTTTGGTTTTACTTTTAATTATAGTTTGCATAATATTCTTAACAGACCTGAGTTTGTAAGAGATCTGGGGGTATATTTTGATCCTGAGCTTACCTTCACTAAACATATTGAATCAATGGTGTCATCTGCCAATAAAAATCCACATTAAAAATCTTATACAAAAGCTTGGTTCGATCGAAACTTGAATATGTATGTGAGGTACGAAGTCCCAGATATAGTGTCTATATTGACCTAATGGAAAAAGTCCAAAGAAAATTTATGAAATCTGCTTCTCTTAGCTGGAATTTACCCCCAAGAGGCTTTCCTCATCAGCTATTAACACTGATCTGGCAAAACGTCGAACTACTCGGCAAATAACACTACTCTGGAAAGTTCTTAACATTCGCATAGACAGCATTGATTTGGTAAATTTTGTTCATTTGAAAATACCACGCACAGGTGTTCTTTTTTATTTTAGTTTTTATTTGCCAGCTGCACGAACAAACATTTTAAATTCATTCCCACTATATCAAGCAATTAATTATCATACCTTCCAAGACAGCTTGGACATGTTTGCTTGCAATAAGTATAATTTTAAGTTAATGTGTTATAATAATAAAATGTTACTTATGTGTATTACTGAATTTTAGTTAATTGGGCAATCTTAGTTCAGATGTTAGTATTTGTTATCAATGTTAATATCCATTTTTTCCTGTTAAGCATACAGCCACAGGTTTTTTCATGGATATTGACGCTTGAATTGCTATTAACAATAATATATATTTACAGTTTTGGTTATTTTTTCTATTTATATTGTCTTTCCCACTGGTTAAATGGTTATTATTGTTAGGTGGTGTGTTAAATAAATAAATAAACTCTCAAGTTGAAAATATCAACAGCTGTGAGCTGATGATACAATTTCTGAATTTGGTTACGTTACCACTGATGCACTGCTGGCTGCAGGTGAAATTAGTTTTTTAGAACTACGATTGTTATAAAAAGTTGACTCTTGTTGTCTAAATGGCATTGTAGTTCTTACTACACATTTCACCACAGCTATGCTATGACTACTATTTGCTATGCCACCGTATGAATGTAGTATGAGCATGATGTAATAAAACGCAGGACGAGGATGGTTCGTAAAAATAACAATCGCGGAAAGCTGCTAGAACCATATCAGTTTTGAATATAGAATGAAAATACCTTTTAAATTAGGTATCACAAGCCCCTACTACAAAATAAAAAAATTTGGGATTACAACTGTCACTCAAAAGAGGTTGAATTTGGGGATGAACTTTTTACGTTACTTACAGGAATCTAAAATTGACGTCACTCAGCATTTTATAAATATGCATATTCATTGAGATACTAATTTTTTTCTATTTAGCTGTTCTACACTGTATATTAGGATCATTTTAGTCTGACTTTATACTTGTTATTTTTTAGGTATATCTAGTTTTATCAATATGTAAACATTGTTAACGTTAAACAAACGGTTCTGATAAACGTTTAGTCACACACCCTTGTTTTTTTTTTCAATGGATTTTCCGAAAACACTATAATTAGCTTATTTATTTAAAAAGTGAAATTAATTCGGAAATTAAATTACTGCATAAATATTTTTGTATGTCTAAGTAATTGATTTGTTTTTGACATCTAACAGTCTACGTCGATTAGAAGAATAAAAAACATTGAAAATATAAACAATAAAAATGTATCAGTAAAAGTACGCTTAATTGGAGGTTTTCACCTTACCTGGACTGAGGTTCTATGGACAAAATCAAACTATAACATTGATTTTAAACGATTAGCCTTGATTTTTTTAAAAACCATTATATGTCGCCTTTTGATTAGGGGTTGAAAATCGTTTAACATCAAACAATTTATGTATGCATACATGGGCCTTTTCCCCTTAAGCCTACACATTTAAAATTATTTCGCCCAATTAAACCTTAAACTTGTCCGTGTTTAGATATTTGGCCCCTTTATCACATTAGCCTGCCCATATCAAAATATCGGGTCGCTTTACTACTTATAAATTTAAAACATTTGGATCGTTTACCCCTTACGCCTGCCGACATAAAAATATTTGGACCCTTTACCCCATACCATGCCCATGTAAAAATAATATTTGAACCTTTCACTTTTTTGACCCCACTATCAAATTCAGATTCATATTATGGAGTTCGTTCAAACTCATGCAAAAGTCGTCGTAAGATCCACATTTTGACTTAAATAAAATGCAAGAATTGGCAATTAACAACACGTTCTATGCCAGAAAGGCAAACGCTATGCGAACATTTTCAACTGTTGCTATTATGTCATAGCAAGGTCAACATTGCCAACTTATTCGGCAGTGTTTCGTTCAATACATTTTTTGGAGATTTTTTTTTTGGTTTTTCATATGACCCTGACTCGTTGAAATCGAAAGAAAAAATATATTCACAGTTTCATTCTTTTTAAATCCATCTTGATGAGAACAATTTCCAATATTTCTATCGTTCTGTCCTTTTTTGAAAAGGGCAGTCCTTTTTTCAAACAAAATGTTCTTGCGACTTTTTAAACCTTAAAATGTCCTTTTTTAACGGCATATATGTCCTGTACCTGGCTGGTACAAAAGTATACAAGGCGAGAACCTTTTTACGAGGCTTTTTTTTGTTATACATACATCGACTTTTTTTTAGAAGGTCTGTCGAAGGACGAGGACTTTTTTTTGTTACACACTCATCGACCTTTTTTTTAGAAGTTCAGTAGAAGGATGAGGAGGACCTTTTGTATACCGGATCTCCTCTATCAGAATCATAATTAGCCCAATCGGATTAGTATTTTAGATTCTGAAAAATTCGAAGCAGCAATTTTCCTTCGGAATTCGTTGGAGGGGGTCTCTGGTAGTCTAAATTCAAAAAGTTGGGATTCCAAAGTTGTCGTTACCTCCGCCATCTTGATTTAAAGGGTTATTTTTTGTATCTTGAATAACTCATTTATTTTCAATTTTACACGGAAAATAGTTTTTACAAAAGTTATTTAAAATTAAATTTCCTACAATTCTGCTTTTTTTTGTACGATCGATTTTTTTCGATTTATACCCGAAAAGAGGGGGTGAATTTTTAGTTATAGAATAACTCGTTTATTTTCAATTTTACGAGAAAAATTGTTATAAACAAAGTTGTTTAAAATTAAATTTCCTACAATTCTGTTTTTTTTTGTACGTTCGATTTTTTTGTATTTATCCCTGAGAAGAGTGGGGGTGAATCTAAGTATTGTATTGTCACGTTTATTATTGATGTTGTACCATTATTTTTTCTGTTTGTTTTTTTTTGCTGATTTTCAAAAATGTTATTTGGTACAATTATGATTCCGATTTTTTCTAAAGTTTATATTGTTGGGTCGCACGTTCACGGTAAAGGAAAAGTGGGGTGTAAATAATCAGTTTATCGAACAGTATAATTTTTACAATTATAAAAAT